CGATGGTCTGCAACCTACTAGCGATGACATCCAACCTACTAGCGATGACATCCAACCTACTAGCGATGGCCTTCAACCTACTGGCGATGACATCCAACCTACTAGCGATGGTCTGCAGCCTACTAGCGATGACATCCAACCTACTAGCGATGGCCTCCAACCTACTGGCGATGACCCCCACACCACGCTCAAATATTGCCATGCTGACATCTCTTTTTTGGGCGCCCTTGCTTGGCCCAATCATCTACGAGTTCATCGCAAAAGCAACTTTCCTCGTGCTCAAGGGGGCAAACATCGACACAACATGGAGCGTTTCTCAGCATATTAGAAAAACTCGAGCTTGGAAAGCTTTGCAACAATTAGTTGTGGACATCTCGCTTGGAATATTCTCCGTTGTTCTTGAGTAAGCTTCACACCGGCATAAAGACCATGGTTGGTGAGAAGGCAAACATCATCTCTGCCCAAACCTTTGAAACAACTGCGAAAAAATGGGCTTGTCAAATTCACAGAGAAGCCACCAAGATACTGGACAGTATTGGACCCAAATAAAGGTAGGCTCTTATAAAACACTGTCCTGCTCGATTCCAGCTCAGTCAAACCCACATCTTTGATATCCGTATCTGTGCCTTGCAATTGTCCGGATCAACTAAATGCGACGTCTCGCACTTTTGCTTCGTGACCTGACGTCAATCCAAGCTACAAGCCACGAACACCAAGACTCAAACTTAGAACCAGCTTAAGAAGCGCTAGTGACTCTTTCTACTAGAAGTAAACAAAAATATAACCTACTAGCGATGGCCTCCAACCTAATGGCAATGGCCTCCAAGGAAGAACAAAGAACGGAAGAAAAGGGGTGCCTTACGCTTTCCCTTCTTTCATCGCGTTGTCCTTCCTTTGTTTTGACACATTCTTCCTTCCAAAAAAGAATGTAGCTCCCAAAAAGGTTCATACCCCAAAGAAAGGTCTAGGCTTTCACCCACGTCTGTACACAAACCTCTGGAGTGTGTCGCATCTGTTTCACATGCATTCGGCACCCGCAGGGCATCGCTGAAGGTAGCTACCTCATCCAGCTCCTCCTGAGCCAGTATATAGAGTGAGGATTGAACAATGAAGTACAATCTCGTAATCTGCTTTTGCTCTGCAAATTTCTTCTCTTGTCTTTGCCTACAGCCCTGGAAGGGCCTGAGTGAAGAAGTCGGGGCAGGCATAGCTTGAAGGCGAGAAGCCTCAAAGACACAGAGCCTCTCAAGGAAAGTGCTTGGGCCTTTGGACACCTTTTTTCGTCTTGGGCCTTTGGAAACCAGAGGCTACTAGGAACAAGTGCCTCGCTTCTAGTAACAAGTGCCTTACTAGTAGTAACAATGTTTGCTAGAAACAAAAATCCGCCGACCCCGGCCTAGCCAACGCCTAGGCGGGGAGGCGCCCGAGACACCGCAGGGTGCAACATTGGCATTGGCATCCTCTACCTCTGCTTTCATGTCCTGGCACTACCACCAAGCCGTGGGCGGTTCATGTCCTGGCCGAGCCGCCACCCCGTGGGCTGTTGGCTTTTTTGAGCCGAAGCCTTGGGAGTGAGCCTCTGGCAATGCCAGGCAACTAGAGCCCTCACTGCGAAACCCGCTGGTTTGCTGCACGCGTGCACCCCCCTGAAAGCTGTGGCGACACAGATTGGCGGAGCCTTGGGAGTGAGCCTCTGGCAATGCCAGGCAACTGTTTTATGGGCTCCCAAAGGCAACGTGCCAGGTGACGTCAGCAGGCAGCAAGGGGGTCGGCGGCACCAGGGCGAAGCCCTTACAATTAAATAGAAACAATTGTTTCTAATAGCTTCTTGTTACTTCTAGTAAGGCACTTGTTACTAGTAGCGATGCACTTGTTACTAGTAGC